TATATATATATGTGTATGTATATATATGTGTGTATGTATATATATATATATGTATGTATATATGTGTGTGTATATATATGTGTGTGTGTATATATATGTGTATATATATGTGTGTGTGTATATATGTGTGTATATATATATGTGTGTATGTATATATATGCGTATATATATATGTGTGTGTATATATATGCGTGTATATATATGTGTGTATATATATATATGTATATATATATATGTGTATATATATATATATATATACATACATACACACACTATATATATATTTTTTTACCCTTCCAGGTAGAAGGTAGGGCCAGGTAGGTTTGGATAGCTTCTCTCCCTTAATAAATTAAATCATTTAAAAACTGCATTTTGTATTTACTCGGGTTATCTTTGTCTAATATTAAAATTTGTTTGATGATCTGAAACATCACTGAAACACTGAAACAAGTGTGACAAATATGCAAAGAAATAAGAAACCAGGAAGGGGGCAAAAACTTTTTCACAGCACTGTATATTACATTATATATATTATATATCCAGTATATACTGTGTATTATATTTTATATATAATAAAAAGATGTCGAACATAGATGTACAGAGAGGAACTACATAGTTTCCCTGGTGCCGAAAACAATGTACAAACATAGAGTGCAGAAATTTAAACACAAGTAGTGTGAATATATAAATACTGGTAATATGTAGTAATTTAAATGCAGATTATCTTTACAGAGATTATATCCAATTTATCTGGTGACCCTTTGGAGGGGCCAGACCCTTAGGTTGGGAACCACTGAACTACTTCGATAGGCCACTTAGATACTTCCGGGTCACTCAGTCAGGAACCTTCCTAAGCAAAAAGGACTATTTTGTATCTGGAAGTATCGAAGTGTCCTCCATGATAAGAGCTGTTTGAATTCTCTAAATGCTAAGGAAAGGTGCATCCATGCTTCCTTTATTAGCTCCTTCAGCATAGGAAACACTGGACCTTCCTTTACGAAAGGAAAGTAGATAATTCCGACCCACAATTCCTTGCGGCGGCAACATTTAAAGTGACGCATCAGTCAGTCGTCCGTTAAAAACAAACGATATGTTTATCTTACACAGGTTTAACAATTATACTTATACAGTCATAAAGTAATGGGATTCATGTTGATGAATATGAACAGACAGTAACAATCTTTACATTTCATTTCACATGTAACAAATGAGGAAAAAACAAAATAAAGTGAACAGTAAATATAGCAAACTTAATGGAAAAATTCTCAATAACAAAAACCATCCATAAAAAAACAAACTAGGCCTATGATAGATTATCAAACTGTTAAAAAGTACAATACAACTGAACCATTGGATCTACATTACTGCAGGAAATATTGATATTGAACAGTTTCATTGATGTTCCACATGAGTGCATTGTTTCTACTGAAGAAGTGATTGTTAAGTGTGACACCAGTTTCTCTCCTTCACACCACGAGTGAAGCAGCCTCTCACAAAAGAAGATGTTTATAAAGCCTGCATGGGATGGAGGACTACATGTCATGGGGGTCGTGTTTTATGTGCTTTTTGTAGTCCTTCTTTGTTGTAGTTTCTCCATGACAGACCTACGTCAGTGACATCTGCCGTCGCATCATAATTATGTAGCTTAGTGAAAGTGGAGTCGGATTCTCTTTTCCTAACTCCTCATAAACTCTCCTTCACATATTTCCTTGACCCATGACGTTTTCCTTAGAGGTCAAGGAAAACGTTAGGAATAGACGACAGGAGGTCATTTTTGGACTTTTCGGCCCCAGCCAAGAGTTTTGGGACGGCCATTAAGATGGAGGAGCAGAACAACTTCCGGTTCAAGCGAGGATCGAGGAAATGACAAATAATAGACTTAGGATGTACCCTTCGTGTACTTTCCACCTTTACTATTCTGCTACGCTAGTCAGCATGTGCAGCCTTGGATATTCAGCCTAATTGACAACGTTTATTCTCAGATAATTCACATTGTAATATTTCCACCTTCAGCAGCAGCATGAGCACGTTATGGATGGGGAACGTGAGTACTCCACACTTTACTTTACTGCGATGAGTCTCGTGTGGTGTGAGCACCGTGTTAGCTAGCGCTACCGTAACATCGGCCACACGCTGTATGAATGGAAGGGAGTTCAAACTCCCTTTTAGAAAACCAACCCTTAGATATTGCCCTGTTAGTTGGGTTTCACTGTGTATGGAGTAACGTCAGCTGAAAGACTAACCCACTGTTTAAGTTCGGTTAAACAACACGTAACGTTAGCAGTCCACTCAGTAGAGCACAACAGCTCCAGGTCCCTCTCCTCTAACTTAACGACCACAACAGACCAGGTCTACATTAAAGCCCACTGTGCTTATATCCCTAAACCTGAACTAGACTAACATGGAGACTGTAAAGAGTCCCCTTTCAGAATTGTGAAACATTTATTCTACTTGTGAAAACGTGCAGAATGGTTCCACATGTTTCCATCCAGATGACTCTAGACTAGATGTGACGTCAGATAAAAGCCCATTGTATGAAGATTAGTCAAAGCTGGACCACATTTGATAAAGTGACTGTTTAAAACCCCTTTTTTAAATTTGTGAAAATTCAGCTTTTCGTGTAGATATTGTCTGTATGGAGGAAAAAAGCAATGCAATTGTTTCTTTGTTATCTGCATTGTTTCGTTTTGACACCTAGAATACATAGATTGAAATGGGCTTTAACAGTGTTTAGGTGCTCCATGATGTCCAGAAGCTGGTGTGTTGATGGAGCATCAGCTGATCCCCTTAGCTTTCAGCTGAACGTATGAATGGGAACCGTTGTGGAATGAGTCCTGAGCTCTCTCTTCCAATCTGTTGGTCTGTAGCTGGAGGCCTACATGGATGAGAAGTTTGTCACCAGATCCTTTTCCACCATGGGGGAGCAGGTGATTAATGTGCGGATCATACGCAACAAGATGACCGGGTGAGAGCTAAATTCACAAGCAGTTGTCTCTTTTGGACTTGATCTATTCTGACGTTAAACAGTTTGTCATCACCCAGGGGGGCTCTGGGCTACTGTTTTGTCGAGATGACAGATGAGGCCACAGCAGAGAGATGTCTCCGCAAAATCAACGGCAAAGCCTTACCAGGAGCCAATCCGGTATGGGTGTTCAGACAGTAACCATGTTTTTTTATGTTTTCGTCTCAGTTGTCCGGAGAAATGGCATTTTTTTAATGTTTCTTTCTCACAGCCCACAAGATTCAAATTAAACCGAGCCACCTTTGGGAAACAAGAAAGTGGGTGAGTCCAATTGGAGAAGCAGGAAATCAAAGATGACCGTGACATTAAAGGGTGACGTCTGTATTTTCAACCTGGACCCTATTTTCTCATGTGTTTGAGTCTAACTGACTAATAGAGACGACAGCCACTCACGAGCTGCAATGTAATCCTATCGGGGCAACCTGGCACCGCCAATTCACGTGCACTAAAAGTGCTTGTTTTTGCCACTGACAGGCTTTGATTGGTTATGTAACATTATGGATTATGTGTTGCCAAAAGACAACAGTGGAAACATGACTGGCAGTCGTGCAGAGTTTGTTGTGTTGGAGTACAGAAAGCTAGCTTAGTGTTATTTCAAGATTTCCAATGTCATGGCTGAATATCGAGATGATTTAGACAATGTGGATGAGGTATTTGAATTCATTGGCCGTCTGTATTTCTTTGACTCTGAGTATATGTTAACCCTAACCCTACGAGTTAAAGGAGGGTGAACCAGCTGCTGGTGGTGAGACCCCATGTTCCCATGTCACATGACTTCTTTTTTAGCGGGACTTAATAGCAAAAGGACTGGATCAAGGGAAAGCAAAGCCTTTTATTTCTCTGTAGGGTTCTTTCCATAATGTTGTCAGACACTTGTAACAATCTGAGCCTGTTAGTGGTAAAAATGAGTGCTTTTAGTGGCCACAACAGCGCATATTTAGGGGCTGCACAATCAAGCAAATATTAATCGCAATCATGATTTTGTCTTCCCACAATGAAGTGAACTTGATCGACTGCAGCGTTTAAAATGCGTGCTCGCTCGTAGAAAACACTGCTGCACATCAAATCAACTGTATTTATATGTTGCTTCTAGGAGAAGCTCTGTGGATAAGTCTTATTCTGATGCAAAGATGTGTACATCAGTAGGAATGTAGCACAAGATGGAAGTGAAGGCAGTGCAGGAGAACAGTGGAGCAACAAGAGACCTCAGTAGATCACAGAACAAGTAGAATAATCAAACAGTGAAGCTGCAATAAATAAGTAAACCCTAAAAATACAATATAATCTGATTTAAATATGAAGTGTTTATATTGCTCATACACACATTGATATTGTACACAAGTGAATGAGTATTTGCATGGTTTCTTATGTGGCGTGCAGTCTATTGGGAGAAGTGTTGGTTGTGCAAATTGTGGTCAATTTGAATAAAAAAAAATCTTGCCTATCATTCTGGCCACCATCGTGCAGCCCTTCACATATTGGTATTGCAGGTCAAGTCACAGCGTTATCCATCAGTACTGGACCATATTCAGAGATTGTTGTCCCCAGCAGTCACCTCAACACAAAGACATGAGGCAGGAGCTTGAAGAAGACCGACGTTTCCCTCTAAGATGTCTACGTAATGATGGAATGACTCGTGTCTTTTCTCCTCTTCTTGTAGTCAGATGTATTCTCTGTTCGTGGGAGATCTCACGCCAGAGGTGGATGATGGGATGCTTTACGAGTTCTTTTACAACCGGTACCCTTCCTGTCGAGGTGGAAAAGTGGTGCTGGACAGCATGGGCAACTCCAAGTGAGTAATATGGAGAAATTCTGTGACAAATGTGCGTGTATGTTGTTGGCCTGCATCGGTGAAGGGACGTGTTGATGGTGCTCATTCAGCTTTTCAACAGTGTGACTGAAGAGTCAGGAAGCTCGTGATAACAAAGCACTCGTTTTCAGCAGAGCCTCACCAAACACACTTCAGTCAAACTCCACAAACAAAATGAAACTTGCCAAAGCCGACTTCTTTCTCTGGTTATATACTCCTGAAATATACTTTGACACTTTGTCTCCATGGCAAAGGCTGCACATGTGGAAGCGGGGACTTCGCTACATTTAAGACAAAAATACACTCGGCATCGGAAAAGAAAGTACAAGGATAGGATTTAGTGCTGCAGATCCTGAAACGATCACCTCACAGAAAGCGGTGGGACCACCACAAGAAGACCCAGCCTGCTCCCTGCTAATGTCGATGGATGAAATATGAATCAGGCTGACCCAGCAACAGGAACTCAGAGACTGTGCATCTTTAGAGAGACCTGGCTTCATCATAACTTCCCAGATCAAGCTATTGCATTTGCAGGGCGGACTGTAAACGCACCGACAGAACGCAAGACTCCGGTAAGAAGAGGGGAGGCGGACTGTGTGTTCACATCGAAGATGCTTGGTGCTCAAACATAGTCAAAGTCAATGGACAATGTTTCCTTGATGTTGAATTTTTAATGCTAAGATGTTGGCTATAATATCTGCCCAGAGAATTCAGCAATGTTTGTTGCTGCTGTTTACATTCTTCCAGATGCAAATAAAAAAAAAATGCACTACAGGAATATACATCAACAGTGACATCATATATCAGCAAATGTGTTGATGTGGTGATTACAAAGACAAAATAAAATCAATCCCAACCAGAGAGAATGGATGAATGGAGAGGTGAGGACTCTATCCAGAGACAAAAAGCTGCCTTTCACTCAGGGGACAAGGAAGCATACAGCATCATCAGAACAAGACTGAAAGCTGGCATCAAGGAGGCAAAGAGGAGTCAAGAGAGACTGGTGAGAGACCTCAACACCAACAACACCAAAGATATGTGGCAGGTGATCCAGAATGTCACAGGCTACAAAAACAGGAGCATCCCCATCATGTGTGAGGCCACGCTGCCAGATTTATACTCGCTTTGATCTCCTCAACAAAGAGTCAGCCGTCAAGTCTGTGGTGTGTTTAGTCTTTAACCTTCAACTCCTCTCAGGCTCCTCTTCTCACTGATGCTAATGGTACCAGTGATGTTCTGGGGGTTGTAGTCCCCCGCTGTAGAGCCTCCTGTCCTGGTCGTACACATCCCATACCAGTTACTAATGTGTGCAGTCAGGAAGCTTTCTTTTGCTCCTCTGGTTAACAAGACGTGACACTGGAAAACAGTTTGGGACCCACTGGTGTGGAGTTAAATCCCATGCACACAGATATTTTCAGCAGAAGTGGCCCTCAGGGTGTGTATGGAGCCTCTATGTAAAGCAGTAACCTGGCCACCCTCGAAGCCCAGTTCCACCGATAACGATAGTTTATAAAAGCGTCCTATCTGCGTCCTCTGTAATGTAGCCTGCAGCAGAGATGAGGTCTGGTAAAGTCACTAACTCCTGCAGCTACGTCCACGTGTTAAAGGGAGAGTGTCAGACAGATGCTGCTGGTGAGCAACAATCAACATTCATTTAGATCCCATGGTGCGTTGATAATCCCTGCATTAATCAACCTGCTCACTGTGGCTTGTTTTAATGTTGGTTTAAGCATAAACGTTGTAATAATCCTGTCATCAAATACAAAGATGTCAGCTGTACTGTGTGTCTCTGTAGGGGCTGTGGCTTTGTTCAGTTCCCAGACGAGCGGCTGCAGAAGCGGGCTCTAGAGGACTGTCAGGGTGCTGTGGGACTGGGTAGTAAACCTCTGAGACTGAGCCTGGCTGCTAACAAGTGAGTTCTTCTGCTCAGCTGATTGATTTGTGCCAGGAGCACAAGCCAAATGATTGGAGTTCAGCGGTGTGTGTCTCCCTGCCTCTTGAGTTTAAGGAACAGGCAGCAGCAGCAACCGTCAGAGCACAGATCATGGCAGTCCGGCTCAGGATACAAGCCCAACTATGACCAGTACAACCAGTACCAGCAGCAGGCCTATCCGGGGTACTACCCCTCCTGGGGCTACGATCAGACTGGAGGAGGGTACGGCTACAACTACCAGCAGTATGATTACACGCAGTACCCCCCACCACAGGTAAGTGATGACACCCGTCAGGCGCACCTCATTAACAGACGTGACTCACCCTAACATGTGTTCTCTGTCTGTAGGAGAGTGAGGCCGTTGAGGATGACGGACTTGAAGGTTGGTATTACTGTCATCATCGACTCATGTATCAATCAGAGTTCTGATTGTTTAGTCTTGTTTATTGTAAATCTTAAAGGTGTTTATTGCATCACTACATATACAGTTGTGTGAAAAAGTGTTTGCCCCCTTCCTGATTTCTTATTTTTTTGCATGTTTGTCACACTTAAATGTTTCAGATCATCAAACAAATTTAAATATTAGACAAAGATAACACAAGTAAACACAAAATGCAGTTTTTAAATGAAGGTTTTTATTATTAAGGGGGAAAAAAAATCCAAACCTACATGGCCCTGTGTGAAAAAGTGATTGCCCCCTAAACCTAATAACTGGTTGGGCCACCCTTAGTAGCAACAACTGCAATCAAGCGTTTGCGATAACTGGCAATGAGTCTTTTACAGCGCTGTAGAGGAATTTTGGCCCACTCATCTTTGCCGAATTGTTGTAATTCAGCCACATTGGAGGGTTTTCGAGCATGAACCGCCTTTTTAAGGTCATGCCACAGCATCTCAATCGGATTCAGGTCGGGACTTTGACTAGGCCACTCCAAAGTCTTCATTTTGTTTTTCTTAAGCCATTCAGAGGTGGACTTGCTGGTGTGTTTTGGATCATTGTCCTGCTGCAGAACCCAAGTGCGCTTCAGCTTGAGGTCACGAACAGATGGCCGGACATTTTCCTTCAGGATTTGTTGGTAGACAGCAGAATTCATGGTTCCATTTACCACAGCAAGTCTTCCAGGTCCTGAAGCAGCAAAACAGCCCCAGACCATCACACTACCACCACCATATTTTACTGTTGGTATGATGTTCCTTTTCTGAAATGCCGTGTTACTTTTACGCCAGATGTAATGGGACATACACCTTCCAAAAAGTTCAACTTTTGTCTCGTCAGTCCACAGAGTATTTTCCCAAAAGTCTTGGGGATCATCAAGATGTTTTCTGGCAAAACTGAGACGAGCCTTTATGTTCTTTTTGCTCAGCAGTGGTTTTCGTCTTGGAACTCTGCCATGCAGGCCATTTTTGCCCAGTCTCTTTCTTATGGTGGAGTCATGAACACTGACCTTAATTGAGGCAAGTGAGGCCTGCAGTTCTTTGGATGTTGTTCTGGGGTCTTTTGTGACCTCTTGGATGAGTCGTCGCTGCGCTCTTGGGGTAATTTTGGTCGGCCGGCCACTCCTGGGAAGGTTCTTTTTCACACAGGGCCATGTAGGTTTGGATTTTTTTTTCCCCTTAATAATAAAAACCTTCATTTAAAAACTGCATTTTGTGTTTACTTGTGTTATCTTTGGCTAATATTTAAATTTGTTTGATGATCTGAAACATTTAAGTGTGACAAACATGCAAAAAAATAAGAAATCAGGAAGGGGGCAAACACTTTTTCACACAACTGTACCTGAAGCAGAATATTCTGGTTTTGTTCCTGCTCTGGAACAATGTTCTGTTTGCTAATGAGAGCAATGCTGAGACAAACCCAGCATACAGGATTCCTGTTGTCTGCTCTGTGAAGCTTTTTGTCATCGAGCGTCTCTGTGCTGCAGATCCCAGTCCAGAGCTGGATGTGGTGGAGGCCAACAGGAAGTTCATGGAGCTCAGTGAAGAACTGTATGACGCTCTGATCGAGTGTCACTGGCAGCCAGCTGAGCTGTCCACAGAGCAGGACGATGAGACGTCCAGCCTTCCAGAGCCCATCTACTGCTGACTCTGCAGCTTTAAGGACAGATGTCTGCGAGCAGCTTGGATCCTTGAAGGACATGAAGGACAGAAGTCACGCTAAGGGTTCTACAACAAAACATGTTTCTGACGTTTTTATGGATCCACGGAACACACTGAGTAGATAACGTGTTAATAGTGTCAAGTCTCAAAATGTTATGACAGACACAAAACATGGAATGTAAAATGAAACGATTAAAAGCTAAGATGGCATGGATAAAGTAAAGCAAAAAGAAATCTTGATACCATTACACAAAGTGATATCTTCCAGGTTTGTGTCGGCGTTAAAATGGATAAACTGAGATATTGGCTACAGGTACAATACACATTATGATGTGCTCCCATTAAAGCTGTATGCAGAGATCCTATGTAATTACAGCACTATTACTATTACTCCACTATTCTGAGGACACATGTTGGTAGAACAATGAAAGGGTCAGTCTGTTGCTTTAGGTCATTCATTCGATTTTCCAGAGTTGATCCATGGCTCTTTTCATACTGACGTGTTTAATCAGGCTTTAATATAAATAGCTCCTACTGTTAGTCATCTTCATCACCATATATATGATTAGAAGAACATCAGTTAAATATCTGTTTTGTGTACTTAACAGTTTGATCTGCAGCTAACGAACTAAAAATAACAGAAATCATTCCAACCTGTTGGTGACTTATTAATTTAACATGTTTACAACATATATACGTAACACGATAGGAATGGTACAAAAGGCTTTTCAATATAATACATAGTACATTGGTTCAGTGCTGAACACAGAAGTTGTCTGTCAGATTAATGAAGCCAGAAATATACAACTTCTAAAGTTGTATGAGTTATCTCCATGGTGCCAGCCCATCATCGGCACAGCCATTTAGATGAATGCCAGTTTTGTTTTCATCTATACTCACATTGCCTCTATGAAGAATTACAGGGCAGTCATTTGAACATGTGTGGAGAAAAGCTTGTTCCTCTTTGATCAAATGATCTTGAATAAAAGGAGCTGAAACAGCACAAACTAAATGTGCTACTCGAATCAATGCAGGTCTTTGAAACCAAAGGTGATTTGAACATGTTAGAGGTGTCACTAGGCTGGTTTCCAGCTCTCCATAATTCACTTTTCACAAGTAGCACACGCTTCCATTTTAATTGAGTACTTGAGTAACAGTGTTCATCTACATGGAATGTGTTTAGTCTACATACAGTAAGTCACATTTCTGAGGTTTCTGAGATGGCTAGTTAAACTTCTCATTTACCAGGAGGAGTTTTTATCACTCCGAACATTCTGTCACTTTGTCTTTTCCTGGAAATGTGCTCGAGGGTCCTGATGCTGTTCAGCGGAGTTTCCAGCAGGTGGTGCTGCTGCAGCCATCACAGCTACTGTCAATAGGCCAGTGTGTGTATGAGCACATACAGGTGTTCAATGTGATGGATGATTTGCACAATGAAATATAAACTGAAAGCAAATGCTGTGTGGAATGTGGGAAACCAAAAACTAGTCTAAAATAAACCTGAGACTGCTCACAGAGTTGGAGGTTGAATCCATATGAACTCCACATCTTTCTTTACACAAAACAGTTATTGTAGACACACACCTCCAGCTCTACCCACCATTGATGAGTGATGATTTGTATTCATGGTTCTCAGACAGAAGACACAATGAAGCACAACGTTAAACTTCAAACACAAACACATCAACACCTATTAAAGATGAATAGAAACATAAACCCACATCACAAATCAAGGGCTCAGGTATTGATCATCAGTTTTCACAAAGATGCTGATCATAGAAACATAGAACAGAACAACAGGTCATTTCACTGGTACCAAAGGAAGTGATTGTTGTTGGTTGTTATGGTGACGTCACAGTGGTGAGAGAGAGCGGACACAGCTCCGGAGATGGATGGCTTGCTAGCTATAGCTAGCTTGATAATCACATGAATCACAGCTGTCTCTCATCTGGTGACAGAAATGTGCTTTCCTCGCTGTAACAACAGTGTGTGGATGAAGAATGAAGTTATTCCATTTTTATCATTTAGTCTGGATTCTACTCTCCAAAATGTTACTACACTGAATGTTTGAATAGTTACTGCAGAATCTCACCTCAGTGAGTCTGCAACTTGCGTGCAGTTGGTTTAGATAATGCAGAAGTTATCCTGCTACCACGGCTGCAATGGTACCGGTACACCATGCCAGCACATCTTAGAGATCCAACCAGGTTTACTTCTTCAGCTGCACAGCCCTATCTAGACACAGCGTTCACTCAATGAGTAGTGCGTCAAATCCATCTTTTAAATGTCATTTTATATCCTCACACTGAACATGACAGCTCGTTTGTCACTCACTTCCTGCAGAGGAACCTCAACTGTGGAACTCTTGAAGTTGTATGTTTGGAGTTGGGTGCTTTACCCTCTTCAGACTTTTGTTTGGACTTTCTTCACTTCATTCTCTCAGTTCTCTTCAGTTGGAGTCTCATGCCCTTTTTTATTGGACTGGTTGAGACATGGCTTTTGTTATTCAATTTTGCTATCAGCTGACCTTGAGCCAGGTGTATGGAGGCAGCTTTCGTCAAAGATGCTCGATAACAATGGAAGTGAACGTGAACATAGATTATGATTTTTTACAAACATTCTGAACATTCTGACACTAAAATGACTCGAACACAAAAATTGGGAGAAAATGAACTTTGTTCCAGACTTTTCTCTGTTCCAGCAACATCCGGGTGCGAGATCTGGTAACTAAACCCAAGTTAACTAATATTCATAATGCTAAATATGGCTGTTAGCTGTGTAATAGCTAATGTTAGCAAAAGAAAATATGAATACATTATGCAAATATAACCCAATCTGCTTTTATTCATCCACTTTACGTTCACAACAATTTTAAACATGGACGAGGGATGCCCCCCCATGTCGATGATGTTGAAGGATCACTCCAGCCCTACTTTCATGCTTCTTTCATGAAGGAAATGCTTCCGTGTGTCCACTCAGAATCCCAGATGGGAGTTTTGCAGTGATGGTTGTCCTTCTGCAAGTTTCTCCTCATCTCCTCACAGGATCTCTGGAGCTCAGCCACAGTGCATTGGCCGAGCTGCCGGCTCTAGGACGACTCGTGGTTCTCCAGACTTCTTCCATTTAAGAATTATGGAGGCCACTGGGCTCTTGGGAACCTTCAACGCAGCAGAATGTTCTTGTAGCCTAACCCAGATCTCTGCTTGAGACAATCCTCTGGGAGCTTTGCAGGCAGTACCTTCACGTCACGGCCCTGTTTCTGCTCTGCTATGCATTGTGAGACCTTCATATAGACAGCTGTGTGTCTTACCCAATCGATTGAATTCAATTAAGTCAAGCTGTAGAAGCATCTCAAAGATGATCAAGAGGAATATGAGCTACATTTCAAGTGTGGAGGGTCTGAATACTTCTGTCAATGAGGTATAGTAGTTTTTCTTGAAATATATTTGTAAAGAAATCTGAAATCCTGTTTTGGCTTCATCATTATGTTATTGAGGACAGATTGATGGGGGGGGGGATCATTTCAAGGATTTTAACATAGGCTGCAACATAGCAAAATGTGAAAAAGTGAAGGGGGCTTTCTGAACACACTTCTGTTATGTCTCCTTTTTTAAGTAAGTTAAGTAGTTTCTAAATATTTCCAAGTGAATAGTGATGGATTTCCTGCCTGTCAATAGAACTGATCAATACTCTATCCCTTATCATGTAGTCGAATGAACAAAACTGATGATTTAGTAATTTATCGTGATGTGCACAGGGATGAAATTTCAACAATTGATTTCAAAAAACCCTGTGGACCCACCACCCGCAGGGACAAGCATCGGGGTCGGGTGCAATGCAGACCGGGCGGCGGGTCAGGCGGGAGGCCTGGGCGAGCCGATCGCCGGCAACATAGACTAGCTCTAGGGACGTGGAACGTCACCTCGCTAGCGGGGAAAGAGCCAGAGCTGGTGCAGGAGGTGGAGCGATACCAGCTAGATATAGTTGGACTCACCTCCACACACAGCGCTGGCTCTGGAACCAAGCTCCTGGAGAGGGGTTGGACTTTGTCCTTTTCCGGAGTTGCCCAGGGTGAGAGGCGACGGGCGGGAATGGGGATACTCAGGAGCCCCCGGCTGAGCGCCGCTGTGTTGGAGTTCTCCCCGGAGAACGAGAGGGTCGCCTCCATGCGCCTACGGGTTGCGGGAAGCAAGGCTCTGACTGTGGTTTGTGCTTATGCACAAACCACATCAATGATCGACTTTGTAATCGTATCATTTGATTTGCGGCCGTATGTCTTGGACACTTGGATCACCACCTGGTGGTGAGTTGGATCAGTTGGCAGGGGAGCCGGTTGGAAAGACCCGGCAAGCCCAAACGTGTAGTGAGGGTGAACTGGGAACGTCTGACGGAGGACCCTGTCCGGGAGGTCTTTAACTCCCACCTCCGGAAGAACTTCTCACACATCCCGAGGGAGGTTGGGGACATGGAATCCGAATGGACCATGTTCAAAGCCTCTATTGTGGACGCGGCCGCTAGGAGCTGTGGCCGGAAGGTCATCGGTGCCTGTCGTGGCGGCAACCTGAGAACCCGGTGGTGGACACCGTCAAGCTGAAGAAGGAGACCTTCAAGGCCTGGTTGGCTACGGGGTCTCCCGAAGCAGCTGACAAGTACTGGCAGGCCAGAAGGGCTGCAGCGCGGTGGTCGCGAATGCTAAAACTCGGGCATGGGAGGAGTTCGGGGAGGCCATGGAGAAGGACTTTCGGTTGGCCTCAAGGAGGTTCTGGCAAACCATCCGACAGGTCAGGAAGGGAAAGCAGGGCTTACCCCAGGCTGTTCTCAGCAGGGGGGGGGACTGCTGACCCGGACGGGGGACATCGTCGGGCGGTGGAAAGAGCACTTTGAGGAACTCCTAAACCCGACCAACATGTCCTATGCAGAGGAGGCAGCGCCTGAAGATCTAGGGGGAGGCTCACCCATATCCCTTGCAGAGGCCGCTGAGGTAGTCAAAAAGCTCCTTGGTGGCAAGGCGCCGGGGGTGGATGAGATCCGCCCTGAGATGCTGAAAGCGCTGGACATGGTTGGGCTGTCCTGGCTGACACGCCTCTTCAATGTCGCATGGGGGTCGGGATCAGTGCCCATGGACTGGCAGACCGGGGTGGTGGTTCCCATCTTCAAAAAGGGGGACCGGAGAGTGTGCTCGAATTACCGGGGTATCACACTACTCAGCCTCCCGGGGAAGGCTTATGCCAGGGTGCTGGAAAGGAGGCTCCGACCGCTTGTCAAACCTCAGATTCAAGAGGAGCAATGCGGATTCCGTCCCGGCCGTGGAACAGTGGACTAGCTCTTTACCCTTGTAAGACTACTGGAGGGGTTCTGGGAGTTTGCCCAACCAGTCTACATGTGCTTTGTGGACTTGGAGAAGGCTTTCGACCGGGTCCCTTGGGGGTTCTTGTGGGGGGTGCTGCGGGAGTATGGGGTGCCGGACCCATTACAACGGGCGATCCGGTCTCTGTACGACTGTAGTAGGAGCTGTGACAATAATGATGGTTAAAATTTGGAACTTAAGGTCTTTTTTGCTGTAATTGTGCATGCATGTTCACTCTATTAATTTGCATAAACATGTAAAAGAATTGGAAAATGCAGCCAGTGGACCAAAGACACTACCAGATGAACTGACACATTTGTTCTTCAGAGGAGATACAGTTCAAATCCTTTAGATGCATACACGTTATGAAGCACAACAGTCATACAAGTCGAGAGATAGACCTGATGACTGAAGGCACAGTGTAAGGCAGAGCCTTATTCATGTAGGACAGTGGTTCTCATCTGGCTGCGGCTTAATGGCAAGCCGCGACCCAAATTTAAATTTTCAACTTTTTTTTTATTTTACTACATTGATATATATATATATTATTATACTATATTCCCCTTTAAGGGGGAAATTTGTCTCTGCATTTGACCCATCCCTGTATATAGGGATACAGGCGCCCGGGGAGCCTGGGGTTCAGTGTATTGCTCAGGTACATTACGACACGTCCCAGTCGAGGATCGAACCGTTCCGGTTCCCAGACAACCCTCTTAACCGAGTGAGCCACGGTCACTCCCAACTTCTCAAATGTAAAGATGGTGCAGTCTGAACCCGAGCTGAAAATGTCCTCTGCAGTCGTAGTGTAGGAGCTCTCTTGTGCTCAAACTGCTTTGTTTGTGATGTCTGTAAATTCGTCCATTTGTAATGCAAAATGACCTCTTGCCTTAATTCGAGCTGTGGTCTGTTTGATGTCATCAATTCACCCCGAGTGTCATTTGACAGAGGTATAGTTTTCAGTTTATCCTCTGCTGATTGATGCAACACGTCCATGTCTGCAGGTAAGTAAGACACTTGTGTGATGTCCTCAGGTCTTGAAGTCATCTTTGAAAGTACTCAACAGGTTTATCTTTGAGAGAAGGCATTTTGTTTCCAAGTTTTGATGCCTTCATGCTTTCTTGTGCCAGAACCTCGCTGCACAAAATACAGGTTTTTGCCCTCTATATAAGAAAATCCATATCTCATGTAG